TGTAGAGAGCATAACAAGTCAGCGAGAAAAGAAATGTTACAAGGAAGCTTCTTGGAATACTGGCAAGAAGAGGAGACAAAAAGGGAACAGTTGTTTATAAACAAAGGGAAAGGAGACGACATTGCCTTAGCGTCTTTGACTTTGTGACTTTTTATTACGTAATTGATTAAAATGACCAGTCCAATTTCCTATAAGCCTGAAAGTGGGTTATACTCTGCCTAGGGAAAAACCACATACATTAGCTCTGTGGCCTAAAAGAGTTCACAAGCTAGTCTTGAACAGCCTGTGTTCTGGAAATGCTCATGATGGAGCTCTGCAAAGTTCTTTCCTTGAAGAAACCCAAAGCACTTTGCAAATTAAATTAGGAAAGTGTATGCAACTCTGTATGAAAAAAAAATCATATTTACATGCCATATTGGTATTAGAATTTATCACTTTACAAAGAAAGATCAGTACAATTCCTTTAAACTGGGTGGGTGTTCAGTGAAAGCATTTAACATATAATTTCATTTCCAGAGTATTCCATCCCAACTCCTCTCCTATGTAAGTTGCTTATAAGGTTAGTTTTTTTTTTTTCCCAAAGGATTAAATACTTGAGAGTAGTGGCTGAGAAGCAGTACCTTTTCCTTCAGTTTCCTCAAAGTGAATATAGCTTCCTGAAGAAGAATGAAGACCAGTGGTTAGGTCACTGACTTAAAAAAAAAAAAGGAAAACACAGCTTTTCTTACTCCGAATTTACCATAACCAAAAAGGCCACTGGACTGTCATTAATGGTTTTAAGTTAAAGCAGAAATAAGAAAACAATTTATTTAGGGTTGGAAGAAGGTTTAGTGGTTGCCTGTTGCCAGCCTCCACTTCACAGACAAGGAGAACAAGGTCAGGAAGACGGCCTCTTACCCAAGTTGTCCTAACCAGTGAGTGCCCAACTGGAATGAAAATGCCACCTTCAGACTGACAGGCCTGCACTCAGAGGCTGATTCTGAAATATCAATGCAAGCAGCTAAATACCTGTAGACTAGGAGAAAGAACTGTTGGTCAGAATGTGTCCTTAGGCAAACCACTGGACCTCAGTGGACCTCTTTCCTTATCTGCACAATGGGACTGAATATTGCCTGCCCTGCCCACTAGGCAGATATGTGGTTGGGAGATCAAACGAGATAAAGTCTATGAAACTTCTTAAATGTTGAAGCACAACATAAATAATAATAATCCCAATTTGTTGAACACTTGGGACATGCCAAGCATTGTGCTAAGCATCATTTCATTATCATAGCACACATTATCACAGGCAAGAAAGCCATTACCTTCTTTGCATATATGAAAGTAAGACTTTGGTTAAATAGTTCACCCAAGACCTCATGGATTTGAACCAAATCTAGCTGACCCTCATACTTGAGTATTTAATTATCAATAGTACCATACAATAATCATGCTATAATACTATATAATGTAATACAATAATACTATATTATATTACTATAGTATATCAAATAGTATAACACATATATAGTGTATATTACTATATTACTATAGCATATTGTATATTACTATACTAGTATCTGTATACTATTATATAATACCATTAGTACTACATATAATACATATAATATTATGAATATAATATATATTATTATTATATAATAATATAATAATACAATAATAGTATAATAATATTGCATTACAAGATGCATGGTTAATAGTAATACTTAACATTGCATACACATATTGCCAAGGAGGAGATATTTATCCTATATGATTCTACATCATAACAACAAAATATGTTTAGTATTTTCCTGATTTTTCATAAGTAGTTACAAATGATTGCCCTTTAAACTATTTCAAGCATATAGTTCCATTATTTTTAACAAACTGTAGTGCCACCCCCTTTAAAAAATGAATTAGGGATAAAATAGCTTTAACAAAAACAAGATTTCAGGGGTGCCTGGGTGGCTCAGTTGGTCAAGCATCTGTCTTCTGCTCAGGTCATGATCCCTGGGTCTTGGAATCCAGCCCCAAGCTCAGCAGGGAGTCTGCTTCTTCCACTCCCTCTGCCTCTCCCCTTGCTTGTGCTCTCTCTCGCTCACTCTCTCAAATAAATAAATAAATAATCTTAAAAAAAAACAACAACCCCAGATTCCAATAATTTATTGTTTTGTCTAGGATGGGTTTTTAAAAATATTTTTCTTGGGGCATCTGGGTGGCTCAGATGGTTAAGCATCTACCTTTGGCTCAGGTCATGAACCCTGGGGTTCTGGGACATGATCTGGGGTCCTGGAATTGAGCCCTGCATGGGGCTCACTGCCCAGTGGGGAGTCTGCTTCTCTCTCTCCCTCTGCCCCTCCCACTGCTCATGCTCTCTCTCACTCACTCTTTCTCTCTCTCAAATAAATAAAATTTTATTTTATTTTATTTTATTTTTTATTTATTTATTTTTTTATAT